GAGCACTCTACCATTGAGCCATAATTCCAGCACATATCTGATAGTTTTTGACCACTCTTCTATCCTTACATTTTATTCCAGGCTAAATAAACACTATTTCTTTTCAAAGAAATTCATGTGAAGCAATTTGTTTAGATACATGCTTTTAGATTAGCAGCTAATGTATGAAGGAGCTTGTTTTTTTTTTTTGTTGTTGTTTGTTTCTTTAATCATACACGTGTAGGACACTGATGAAATTTCTTTTCTTTTATCCTTTGGTTTTACCAATATCAAGTTTCTTGACTCCACTCTCATGAGAAGATACAGGTCCCACATCTAAGAAACAATGTATGATAAACATAAAGAATTAAGATATGGGGATTGAGGTTGTGGCTCAGTGGTGCAGGGGGCTGGATTCAATCCTCAGCACCACAGAAAAGTAAATAAATAAAAATAAAGGTATTTTTATTGTATGTCAACTACAAATAAAAATACAATAATTTAAACTACAACTAAAATATTTTAAAAAGGAATTAAGATATGGTATTCCAAAGGAAAAATGATCTGAAAGCTCACAGAATACCATAAATCAGTAAACATTTCTATTTCAAAGTTAATGTTATATAGTCAAGGAATAACAATCTTGGTTTTCAAGGTATAAACTCAATAAAGACTTCTGTTTACAAAATGAATCTGATTTAGTAGATTTTGTCAGCTTTTTAACTATTCATGGCCATGCTGCATTATCAGAAAATTAGTAGTCCAGGGATGAGTATGGAGCCAGTAATGTGAGTGCATTCCTGGTATACCCAGGGCCAAGTTTTCATTTTGAGGGAACATAACCAATAAATAAACAACTAGCTATCTACAACAAATACATCAAAAACAGTATGATCTCATCTGTCTTTCTCATATGGATTCCACATACATTGTGGTGCCTGATATTTATGAAGATGAGAAGTTTGTAGCTACAGGCTGCATAATGAAGTGATTGACAATAAACAAAACAAAACAAAACAAACAAACAAACCACCACCATAATATGAAAGCTTGCAGAATGATCATATATAAATAAACTCCCTTACTTCAGCGTTATTGATATACAAAGAATAACCACCATCTTGGTGTTCAAGGGAAAACTCACTAAAGATTTTAGTTGAAAAAATGAAACTGGCATGGCATATCTTGATAGTTATTCAAGTATTCTCATACAATGTCTGGATGAACAGAAAACTAGCTATCTGGAGATGAGAATTTATCTCAATAATAAAGTATATTAGTAGCAGGTCAAGGGACAGGATTTTATTTCAAAGCACCAATACAGTAATAATATTAATAATACAAAATTTAGCAGCATCAAAAACACTAGGCTTCTCAGCTGAATGAATCACAAGGATACCACATATATCATGGTACCTGGTAGGTATGAAGGAGAGAAGTTGGTAGCTGCAAGTTGCCCCAATTCTTCCAGTCCATACTGGTTCCAATAATCTCTGGACAAGGAATAGTCTCACCTTTGGTCTGAAGGCAGATAAACTGAAAGAAGCTGGGCTGCCTTCTCTCAGTTTCAACATGATTCCCTCCAAAATTACCTAGAAAACTCTTTGGTTCCTTCTTCATTTTTTCCTTCCTTTTAACATTTCCAAAGCAACTTCTAGAGGCTTGTGTTTGAAACTGTGAATTTTACATTCTTTGGTTCAATTATTCCCACTCCTTCTTGCCTCCCTAGATAGGAAATGTATCATGGAAATATAATTTGTATGTCTTTGTCTTTTGAGACCTTCCCCCTTTCCAAGATATATCCTCATAGGAAAGCAAGATGTATGCTTACACTTCATCTGCTTGTCTCCTGAAGTATAGGAATAGGGTTCATTTACATTTCCCAAAGACATCAGTTCCCTAGCTATGAACAATGTCTGTGGATGAGGCTCATTGAAATGACCTTAGCAAATAATGGAAATGTGGAAGGAAAGATCTGCTGCCTCAGAATGAGCTTCTGAACATGGTACCCAACAGTCAATGTATAGCAGTTTGAGATTCCCTATGTGAACTTGGTCTTCTTCCACTTCTCATACTTTAACATGAATTTATCTCTCAGTTCCTCCCCATGAAGTCCCTCTAAATGAAAGTCTAACTGTTGCCATAATATTTCCAATGGGAATTTTAGATATCCGTGGTTTGGACATCAATCTATAATCATATTTCTTTATATTTCTTTATATCCCCCATTTTTGTTTCTGCCCTATATAATTTTGTTGTTATAGGTAGTAACAACATCTTGCATTCATTAAAATGTGTACATACATAACAATTTTTGCTAAAAGAGCTTAGGTCTGAGTGATTAGTTCTTCACTCCTCAAATTATTTTTCAAAACATACTAAGAAAGATTGAAATAATTTTACTTATGTATTAATCAATATTTGAAATGGAAACTTGCATTTGTTCCCCATTTTGAAAACCCTGTTTTTATTTTCCTTCTCATAGGTGATTTGAATTTCCTTTCCTCCACTGAGTACAACTGCTTCTTTTTTCTTCATTGACTCTTGTATTAACTATATTTCTCAGTTTTCCTTTCCTCCTTCTCTATTTTTTGATTCTTTTGTGATCATAACATGTAAAAAAATGCAATTCATAATTCAGTTTTTTTAGCAATACCTCTAATTTATTCTGTGAATGAAATAAAATAGGATATGCCACATATTGCCTTCCTTTTTTCTTTATAGTTATTTAAAAGAAACATTATTAAAATAATAAGAATATACTACTGCTCATGAATGAAGGCAATATTCTCTCCAACTATTTTGTATTGTGTGTATGTATGTATATATATATATATATATACACATACTTTTTATATATTCATTTTCTCTCTTGTTTGCACTTTGATGGGACATACCAGATATACTAGAAGCATAATCCTTTGGCTGTTT